ATGTGCCAAGATAGGTAAGGGAGGAAGACTATGGTGTGGTCTGAAAACTATAGAGTTTCATACAGAAACAAAGCGTATTTTTAGAATGGGCATTCAAATTTGAGATGCCTATCCATCATTCAGAGTCACCACTGGTGTACATAAGGCAGAGAATAGGCTTGGGAAATTCATCCGGTGGTTTAATATTTACTGACTATCCACTATGTATCTGGTACCATGAGAAACTGGGAAGGACGTAAATGAAAAATAAGCTATGAAAAATCTTGTATCAAAGTGGGGAAGACAGACAAAACGACCACAGCATTAGTCTACAGAGTAATAAAACACTACCGAATATACATGCACAGTGTTACAGGGAACAAAAAGAAGAGGAACAGAATGTTTCCCCAAAACGGTAATGCTAGAGGAGTAAACTGGATAGAGAATAGAACTGTAGGAGTAAAATCCCAAAGTAAAAATGAAGTTCAGTTAAAAACTGAAGAAAAAGAAAATAGGGCAAAAGAGACTAAAAAAGCCAGATCACCAAGGACATTGAGTAGTAAGAAATCAAGCTCTGGAAGCCACAGAAGGGTTTCAGGCATGAGTAAGATGATCAATCACTCTATCAAACAGAGTGAAAGACATACCAGAGGTAGAGGCTGAGAATACAGAAGACTAAAGAGAATTTCAACATGCAATACAGGGATATTTATAATTTAGAATATATATTAAACAAGAAAATAAAGAAAGTATGGACAAGGAAGACAGAAAAGAGATGGTGGGTAGGGGAAGTATTTCAAAGGTGCTAGTTATACACATATTTATTTGTATTTACATGCCAAACTATGTTATATACTTTTATGTGTTATATTTTACATTTTAAACAAATGTTCAAAGAGAGAAAGGTTGCTGAATTACGGAAATAGCAGTGAGAAAGGAAAAAAAGGAAAAATCAAGAAACAAGTACAAGTTAAAACCAAGAGAAGAAAAAGACAAAACTAAGAATTCTACCCCACCCCCAATTTCAGAGACTAGGTGGAAATAGAAGCTATTTACCAAGGGAGAATATACAGAAGACAGCTGTTTTATGGGGAAAGAACTCAACTTTGGACATGTAGAATTTGAGTTGCCTGAATAACACTCAAATGGAAATATCTAGTAGGTTTTTAGACATGCAGGCTAAAAACTAGAAAAAACCATCCAGATTGAAGGTAAAAATTGATGCACCATGAGCCTGTATACTAGACTATGGCCTTGAAAAATATCACCCAAGGAAGAAGATTATCTTGAAAATTACAGAAGGCCAGGATTGTTTCTCTCTACCATCTGGCTCAGCCATCACCTGGCTTTAAGTAGAACCAGTTCATGAATCTGTTGCAATGCTAGATTTGACGTGCACCTGCCAAAAAGGAGATTGAGTGTTACAGCCTCTGACAGCAGGTAGCTGAAAGGAACTGGCAATTCTTTCGGTTCTGCCTGCTCATGAATTCTCGATATAGCAGAAAATACAAGTAAAATTATACTTATGCTCAAAAAAGACTTCTTGACTTTTCAAATAACATGAATACAGACAGTCCTTTACTTCTTCAAGAATATATTTCTTAACTTTTCCCAGCTTCCCAAGCTTACAATCCCAAGAATAAAATATTAAGAAGCAGAATTAGCTTACATTTTTGTTGAAGTCACTGCAATGCAAATAAAAAGCTTACTGTAATTACATCTGGCAATGAAATTACATTTAATAACTTTCATTCTCATGACACCTAGCAGAGACTAGACTTTCAAAAAGCTCAAAATAATACACATTGACTACAAAGAACAACAATATAAAAGAAAGAAATTCAAAATTGCTTTATCCCTTAAATAGGCACAAAGGTCTGAAATTTGTATGTAAATGGCTGAAAATAAAAGAATACCATTTATATAATCATTTATATAGTTATTCAATGAATTTTTGTAATTCTAAATAAGACTTACATTCAGAAGACATGAAACACTTATGGTTAAATGCTTCACAAAATCTGGGGAGAAAAAATGTGTGCTTATACTCCCATATGCAGTACTTACCTGTTTGTATCTATAGAAAGATGATCTTAAGATATATTCTCTATCTGTCTTTTTTTTCTTTTTTTTTTTTTCTTTGTTTTTTTGCTGCTCCGCAGGGAGCTAGGGCCAACCTTAAGGCCAGAGTTGGTCCTAAGATGTATTCTTGAAATATACGGTTCTGCTTGTGGTATTACTCGGAAATTATCAGAAGTTTTTAAAAAGAAAGTTCTCAAAAAACGGAGAATACTCTTCTTTGTTTTATAGAGAAATTATGTTTAATCTTATTCAGAACAATAAAGATTAAACAAGCTGAGTATAATCATTCTCTTTACAGTTACAAAAAGTATCTAATTATCAGACACAGTTGAGCCAGAACCCATAACTTAAAGAAGCCTGATTTTAAAAACGAATCTAAAAAGCTGAAGAGATTTAGCAATGTATAGCCAAGTTAGTACACAAATGATTGGGTACCTACTAGGTGAAAAACACCATGCTAAGTGCAGTGGGAGAAACAAGAAGTAAAACATTAAGTTTCTGTCATTGGTAACAAATTTTAAGACCACTGTACAGTAAGATTTAAAAAGTAACATGAGGCCAGGCACAGTGGCTCACGCCTGTAATCCTAGCACTTTGGGAGGCTGAAGCAGGAGGATCACTTGAGCTCAGGAGTTCAAGACCAGCCTGGTCAACACAGTGAGACCCTGTCTCTATGCAAATAAAAATACTTAAAAAAAAAAAAAAAAAGCAATATGAAATTTAAGACAATACATGCTTAAATATCAAATTCATAATTTAAACAATAAGATCTGAGGAGAGATTACATCCAAATTTTCTGAAGCCACGTTCAGCCCAGGTAATTAGTGAACTATAGTTTTTACCACAAGAAGTTAATCAGATTCTTGACATTATTGTAATTTTTTTTTAAAGCAGTAGCAAAGGGGAGACATTTTCTCACTATGCAGGCTCTCTAGCTAGAGAAGAGGGAAAAGGAATAACTAGGTAGGAAATTAGACTAAATGATCACTTCCTTAAAGTCTGCAGTTCTTCCTTGATTTAACAAAGTGTAAAATTTCAAATACAATGTAATACACGATGTATAAAAACAAAGTCATAAAACACAAGTACTGTCTAAAACAGTAGTTTTCAAATTCTGGTGGACATCTAATAACGTGGATAACTTCTTAAGCCATATAGATGCCTATGTAGTATCTCAGGCCTTTGGAATCGGAACCTATAAAGATGGAGTCAGAGTATTTGTATCCTAAGAAAGCTCCCTAAGTGCTTCTGATGCACAGCAAAGAGTGAAAATTAAGTTATATGGTTAAGTGCACACTCTTCAGTGGTAAGGAAATCTGAGTTCAAATGCCAATGCTAATACTTACCATATCCATGGCTAACTAGCCATCCTAACACTATTTCTAATCTATAAAAAGGGGAAAAGCTAGCTGTACTTAAATGATTGTTGTCAGGACTAAAGATGATGATGAGGTAAAATGTTTAGTACAATTCTTGACACATTCAGTAAGCATTAAATGAATTCATTCATTTAACAAACATTTATTAAGCACTTACACATCAGGAGACGAGGAACATTTCATTAATTTACTAAGTATTAATAAAAGCATGACAACTCTTCAATGGTGTAGTAACAACATATAATCAGGAGAATCTATTCTAATCAGGAAAATCTTCCCTGAAGTGATGTGAACGACAAATAGGTATTAATTGGCTAAAAAAAGAAAGGAAGGGCATTTCCAAGCAGAGGAAGTAGCATAAGCAAAAGCCACATACTTGAAGCAGGAGAACAGAAAAGACAGGGTGACTAGGGGAGAAACGGAATGTCGGAAACACAGTGGAGATGAGGTTGGAAAGGCAACTGGGGAACCGACTCTGCAGGGCTTGTAGAGCAGGTTAATGTATTCGATTTTCTTAAAAATAGTGAGAAGCCATAGAAAGATTTTAAACACAAAGACAATGTTATTAGATCTGCATTTTGAAAAAGTCACTAAGTTTGGTGTGGAAAACTACAGGAGACCACAGTAGATGCAAGCAGGCCATAATCAGGAGGCTATGGCAGTAGTCAAGATGAGAGATGGTGGTGGCTTGGAACAGAAGGACTACTGTTAAAGATGAAGGGTAGACAAGAGTCAAGAGATATTCAACAGGCAAAATCAACAGGACTTCATGAGAGTCTGAGTATGAGGCATGAGAGAGGAATTGCCAAACTTCAACTTCTGTACAAAGGAATGGATAGTGATGCTACCTATGGAGTTAAGCACAGTAAGAGGAGCTACTTTTCTTCTTAGGGTGGGGGAAGGGAGGCACATCACGAATTTGAAACATGTGAGTATGAGTAGTTATTCCCAATAAAGGGTTCACCTGTACAGAAAGTATTCCATTGTATGGAAATACAATGTGCCCGTATTTATTTTTTTGGGTGTTTAGGAATCTTAGAGACAAAACAGGTTTCTGCATGTAGGTAACATAATGAAGACCCTCTCCTTCCATTAGGTTCCCTTCCTTTACACAATCCCCCAAAAGCATCCTATATGACTAGTTTAATGTTGCCTTAAGAAGTAGTTTACATACTCAGCTGACATCATTTTTAAATATTTAAAAAATATTTGTGCTAAAGAATAAGACAGAAAACCAAACAACAAACCTGCAAAGTCCAAAAGGAATCTTCAAGCACCTGACTTTCAAGCCATCACCAGAATATGATGGGGTTTGACAGTGACAGGCTGATTGCGAGCATTTTTGTTACACTATTTATTCTTCAGAACAGAGACATGCTACTTAGAAAACTCACATATAGAATCCAATGTTTTTAAAAAGTGTCATCACAATTGATTCCTGAGTCTGAGACGTACTACAAAACAGCTGACAACTTCCAATGAAGTCACTACGAGCATAGCGCTTTTAAGCGGCGTGTGTCTCGAGCCTCATTCAGTGCCTTAGAGGGTGGATTCGATAATATGGTCTCCTTAATTACGTATCACAGGTATGTGCTCAGAGTCCAAGAAGTTTTTGCAAGCTTTATCGGTCTAAACCTTCCTCCATTCGTTTCTCCCGCTGAGAAAAATAAGACTGCAGGAGTAACCGGTGGGATTTTTTTTGTCCTCACAAAACACCTGCCCCACCCACCTCACACACAATAACCTTCCATTCCAGAACTAAAGCTACTGTCAGAGAAGGACGGCGGGCGGCAGGGCCCTGGCTGGTGACCCCGGCTACGGGATTCCGGACCTCAGAACTGAGGGGAGCTCTCTCACCCGGTCCTAAAGTAGTGTCCAATTTCCCCAAGGGTACCACGTTCTCCACCACCGAAACCCGAGCTTTCGAGCAGGTATGTGGGGGCTCTCCCTCCTGCAGCTGACCCCAATCCCGGGTCTCCCGTCGCCTCAAGGCCTCTTTCGAGGACTCGGCCCTCTCGGATCCGCTCCCCGGAGCTCGCTGTTCCCCCAGCCCCGCTTCGCTCGGGCTCCGACCGCCAACCGCCCGGCCGGCAGCCTGCAGGCCCGTCCCCAGCCAACACTCACCAGCCCCGGAGCCCTGGGAGGCCTACCCCGGGCGCGGGTCCTTCTCCATTCCCTCCTTGCTGGCCCCGGGAGTCAGGCGAGAGCGCGGCCAGTAAGGGAGGTCGCCCGGTGCCGGCGGCCGGTCACTTACCTCTTCCCTCTCCTTCCAAAAGGGGCGGTGCTGGAGCCCTTTCCCTCCGCCCCCCTAAACGCCGCCTGGCTGTTCTGCTCTGCCTTCGCGCCTGGTCGCTGACTCCGGCTTTACTCCATAGCCTCCGCCGCCCCCGCGGCCGCAAACGCCGGAGCTGGAGGAGGGAAGGGGGTGGGGAGGGGAGGGACTGGGGACGAAGAGTAAGGGAGGGGGAAAAAGACGGGAAGACCTGCCGACCGAGGCATGACGTCACTTCCTGCTGGTTCGGAAAAGGCGGAGCCAGGACTTGTCTCCGCCCCCAGGGGTCATGTGGGGGCGGGGCTACGGTGCCAGGGTAGGTACCAGCGCGCGAGGCTATGGCGGTTCTTTTGACTCTGTGGTTCCGTAGACTTAGCATTCAGAACGAGCTTCCGGGCCCAGGGCTGAACGGGTCAAGTTTTATGAACTGTACAGGTGTCTTCTGCCGGGAAAAGAGGACAGGGAGCCCTGTAGATCCGAGCCAAAGGTGTAGTGAAGGTGGAGGGGCCGCGCTGAGGGGCGAGGGCGGCTGGGACTCTGCTCCTCCGCGGTCCGAGGCCCCGCCTATTTCCTAGACCTGCCCTCTTCTTGCCTTCCCAGGCACTGGGCTGGGAACTTCTCAGGGGTCACTCTGGTGTAGTGCCTTTGGATAGTCCAGGAAAGCATTGTTTCTCAAACTTTAATAAACATACGAATCTCCTGGGATCTTGTGAAAATGCAAATTCTGATTGAGGAGTAAGTAGGGTCTGATAATCTGCGTTTCTAATGCATGTCCAGATGGCACCAATGCTGCTGGTCCCTAGGCTACACTTAGAGCAACAAGGGGTTAAAGTACTAGAGGGCAAGTTCCTTAAGCTGAAAGAGTTATTTCTTTAAGCCTACTTGTTTAATGAAGGTTAGAGAGGTAGACTCTCCATGGAAAACATCTAGGCTCCACCTCTCTGTCTTCCGCCAACCCCATCGAGTACCCTCCTGCCCACCTCTGCCCATCACTCTCTGGCCTCCCCTCCTCAGTCTCTGCTTTGCCCACAACGTCTGGGGATAAGATTTCTGGAGTGATTAGGCGGGTAACATATATTACAGAAGGAATTTGAGGGTGATGGATTTTTATTTCTGTAATTTTATCATAAACATCATACGTAAAGTCGGGCATACTTTTTGCAGTTATGTATGCATAGGCGGAGCAGAGAACTTAAATTCTTGGATTCTACCCACTTCCACCCCTCAAATCTAGAAACAACATTCTAGATGTTCCAGGTTATTACCTTATCATCCTTTAAATTTTTTAATTAAAATTTTATAGGCCAGACGCAGTGGCTCATGCCTGTAATCCCAGCACTTTGGGAGGCCAAGGCGGGCGGATCACAAGGTCGGGAGTTTGAGACCAGCCTGACCAAGACGGTGAAACCCCGTCTCTACTAAAAATACAAAAAATTAGCTGGGCATGGTGGCGCATGCCTGTAATCCCAGCTACTCAGGAGGCTGAGGCAGGAGAACTGCCTGAACCCAGGAGGCGGAGGTTGCGGTGAGCTGAGATCGGGCCATTGCACTCCAGCCTGGGTAACAAGAGCGAAACTCCGTCTCAAAGTAAATAAATAAATAAATAAAAATAAAAATAAAAAATAAAAAATAAATTACTGGGGTAGAGAGCAAAGAAGAGTGACTAGGAATTATACGTTTCTTTGTGGAATGATGCAATGGTCTGAAATTAGATAATAGTGATGGCTGCACAACTTTGTGAATGTACTGGAAAATACTGAATTATACACTTTAAAAGGGTGATTTTTATGGCATGTAAATTCTATCTCAGTAGTTTTTACTGTCTCCAATTAATTAAACAATGAATTTTTATGTGCCCATTATAAGAATTCAGAAACATAGAATAAAAAATAATGTTAACATGACTGGTCTCAAATGAAAAACATATGTTAAAGAAAGAACATCCTCTTTCATCAACCACATTACAATCCTACTTTCCCAAGTTTAGTCATTTGAAGTATATCCTTCCAAATCTTTCTATTTATTTACATACATTTGTATGTAGATTGGGAATTCATGTTTACCTTACCTAAGTAAGATAATAATGTACAAGTTGTTCTGCTCAACTCATTTTTAAAAACTTTTTGTTTTTGGTTTTTCTTTTTCCCTACTTAATAAGCTCCTTGCACACTATAAACATAGCTCTACTTCATTCTTTCTAATGGCTGCCAACTATTCTATAGTAAGGGTATACCATGGTTTATTTAACTGTTTTTTTCAGGTAGTAGACTGGGATTTTTGTTTTGTTTTGTTTTGTTTTGTTTTTGAGATAAAGTCTCACTCAGCTCACTTGCAACCTCCACCTCCCGGGTTCAAGCAATTCTCCTGCCTCAGCTTCCCAAGTAGCTGGGATCACATGTGCATGCCACCACACCAGCTTAATTTTTTTTTTTTTTTTTTTTTTGTATTTTTAGTAGAGACAGGGTTTTGCCATGTTGGCCAGCCTGGTCTTGAACTCCTGACCTCAGGTGATCCATTTGCCTTGGCCTCCCAAAGTACTGGGATTACAGGCATGAGCCACTGCACCTGGCCAGCTGTTTTTGTTTTTAATTGAGACAGGATCTCACTGTGTTGCCCAGACTAGAGTACAGTGGCAGAGTCACAGCTCACTGCAGCCTTGACCTCCCCAGCTTGTGATCCTCCCACCTCAGCCTCCTGAGCAGCTGGACTACAGGTGCACGCCACCGTGCCCTGCTAATTTTTTGTATTTTTTATAGAGTCTCCCTGTGTTGCCCAAGTTGGTCTTGAAGTCCTGAGCTCAGGCAGTCGTCCTGCTTCAGCCTCCCAAAGTGCTGGGATTACAAGTATGAGCCACTGAACCTGGCCAGTAAGGGACATTTTTATTGTTTTCAGGTTTTCATTATTTCTCAGCAATTTTTTCTTTTTTCGTGCCCATATTTAATTTTTTTCTCTTATTTGGAGAGTAAATGCAGCATGTGATAAGGCACACTTTTTTTTACCATTATGCAATATGACCATGGAAGTAAGATAAGGCACATCTTTGTCTAAACCCCCAACAGTGGAAGCACATTTTACAGCCCAGTGTCTACAATATTTGGTAGTTTTGCTTTATAATTTAGATAATTGGGTTATATTCAAGTATTCAACTCAAGTAAGGATGTGACCCTCTGTTTCATCTTTCAGCAAATTTTTTTTTTTTTTTTTTTTTTTTTGAGATGTAGTCTTGCTCTGTCACCTGGGCTGGAGTGCAGTGGCACGATTCCTGCTCACCACAACCTCCACCTCCCGGGTTCAAGAGATTCTCCTGCCTCAGCCTCCTGAGTAACTAGGATTACAGGTACGTGCCACCATATTCAGCTAATTTTTTTTATTTTTAGTAGAGACAAGTTCTCGCCATGTTGGTCAGACTGGGCTTGAACTCCTTACCTTAGGTGATCCGCGCCCCACTTGGCCTCCCAAAGTGCTGGGTTGAAAGGCATGAGCCACTGTGCCTGGCCTCAGTGAACTTTTTAAACAGCTGGTTTAAACAATAATAAAAAAAAAATTTCATTAGTTTATTCAGTTCCTTGCCTTGATCTCCCTAATGAAGAGTTTGCCCTTGTTCAAAAGGACACAAAGAAAAAAAGAAAAAAGAAAAGGCAAGGAGCTTGGTGAAGTCACAACTCTGTAATAATCAATACTCAAACGTATTTGCATTCCTTTTAAATGTGCCCTAAAATAACATTCTTGAAGATTAAGTATAGCTAGTAGTTAACTATGTAATAAGGGTATATAAGTTCACATAATAATATATTTCACATCAGTAAAGCAAGTTCCTAGGTTTACTCTGTTTATTGGCAGACCAACATGGTACAACTTAGTAAATATACTATAGTTTATGTAAGATGTGAGATGACATGTAAGAAGGATATTAGCAGCAGATATGCCTTTAACAAGCTAAAGGTTGTCAACGGAAAAATTCGCATATTTTTGTATGACCTAAATTTGTTAGAAATGTATATTTAATTTTTTTCAGGATGCTCTGGTCCTTTTCAAGCTACTCAGCTATGGGAAGGTATTATTCACTCTCTTCAGGCCCAAGTGGAAATAAAAAGAAGGAGGTGTCATTTAAGAACATACAAAGACTGTTTTACTGGTTCTGATGCTGTCGATGTGATCTTAAGTCATCTTATGAAAAACACATGCCTGAGTAGCAATGACATCTCTCGTCTTAAAGGAGTTCATCTTTGCCAAGTTTTAATGAATCACAAAGTATTTGAACTAGTAGGAATGAAGAAGCTTTTCAAAAATGAAAAGGAATTGGAATTTGAAGATTCCAACCATAGTCTCTACAGATTTCTAGGCAATAAATCATCTTATGATCGTTGCAAAAGACAAAAGGATGCTGAGAATGAGTTCACTGATGAAATAAAAGCAAAAGAACCTTTAAGGTTAGTGTTATCTAAGGTATTGTAATACATTTTCTTTATACCCTAGAAGAACTATATTGAGCTAAACTCAAATGCTTACTTTGTTTTTTCAGAAGCCAATAAAAGAAATATCCATGTAAAAATTAATCCATTTATGCATTTCCTCTAAAACTGGAATGATGCAATAATCTGGAATTAGATGATAGTGATGGCTGCATAACTTTGTGAATGTACTAGAAAACACTGAGTTACACTCTTTAAAAGGGTGAATTTTGGCCAGGCAGGGTGGCCCATGCTGAGGCGAGGCAAACAGATCACTTGAGATCAGGAGTTTGAGGCCAGCCTGGCCAATATAGCAAAACCATGTTTCTACTAAAAATACAGAAGTTAGCAGGGTGTGGTGTCAGCCACCTGTAGTCCTAGCTACTCAAGAGACTGAGTGAGGCATGAGAATTATTTGAACCTGGGAGGCAGAGGTTGCAGTTAGCCAAGATCGTGCCACTGCACTCCAGCTAGGCAACACAGAATCTGTCTCAAATTTAAAAAAAAAAAAAAAAAAAAAGGTGAATTTTATGGCATGTGAATCATAGCTCAGTAGTTTTTACTGTTTCCAATAGAGCAGCATCTGCTGCTGTAACCAAAAATACAAATTATTCCTTTTCTTTACAACATTTTGTTTTCCTTAGAGCAAATAAGTTTTTGTTTTCTGTTTTGCTTAGTTGTTGAAGATATTATCAAATAAATTTTTCAGAATTTATACCAGAAAAAACTATGTTTTCTAAGGAATTGATATGCTTTCTAATTTTGAAAAATGACTTAGCCAACACACTAAAAGCCAAGGTTTTCTGGAAACTCAGAGCAAAAATTTTCTATTCTATGATAGCAACTATGTTAACCTTAGAATTAGCACATATGCTTTTTTTCTTTATTTAGAATTCTAATTTATCCTCTTTTGGTGATAGTCTATTAAATGAATTATTTGCATCTTTTATTGTAAGCTGCCTGAAATCCTTTTTGGAAATAGAGAATGTATGAATAAATTTTAATACATTAATTTAAATGTGTATTTGAAATTTTGGTCTTGTATATAATGAAAAGAGTCATGTATTATTTTTTAACAGACCAGAATATGAAATGATTTCAAATCATCTAGCACAAGAGATTGGTGAGGAAAGAACTGAGGAACTTATTCATACAATAGATGGGAATCCAGCTTTATGTCCAAATATCACAGTTCAGGAAACCTTTTCTCTGGCTTTCAAAAGAAGGTAATTTATTTTCATTATTTTTTTCATAACTTGGTAAGGAAGAGCTAACTTTTAAAAAAATAGGTTCTTGCTAGCAGTTTCAAGTGCACAGCAAAATAGAGCAGAAAGTACAGTTCCCACATACCCCTTGTCTCCACTCACACACAACCTTCCCCATTATCAACATCCTGCTCCCAAGTGGTACATTTGTTATAATCAATGCATCTACATTAATACATCATTATCACCCAAAGCCCATGGTTTACATTAAGGCTCAGTCTTGGTGTTATACATTCTATGGATTTATACGAATTTTTGATGAGATATATCTGCCATTATAGTATGATAAAGAATAGTTTCACTGCCCTAAAAATTCTCTGTCCTTCACCTACCCATTCCTCCCTTCTCTCTAACCCCAGGCAACCACTTAATATTTTTACTGTTTCCAAGAACTGAGTTTTAAATGTGATTTAGGTAGTGTATAAGTTTGTTGACTCCCTGCTTCTCTTCCCTGTAAGAGTTTTCTTCTGGACAGCAATTACATCAGATACAGCAGGTGAGGCAATATCTAGTGACACTTAATTCATTTTTTACAATGACCTTGACCAGATTAACTGGAAGTGATATAGTCTGTACCACAAGAGAAAACATACAGACTCACCGCAGTCTTTAATATTTGTACTGTAAGACCATCTTCTTATGAGTGTATCCTTTGTCCATTGTATAAACTCCTCCCAAACATCTTCCTGCTCCTTCCCTTTCTCAGAACAAACTAGCTCGATTACCTGTTGCACCACTCCTCTTTACTATTTTTCTTCCTCTACTTGTGTTTTTCTCCTTAAAATGTCACTAATGGCAGAAGAAAAGAGCCCCTTGTGTTTTTCTTCTTAAAATGCCACTAATGGCAGAAAAAAAAAGAGCTCCATAGCCAGGGTAGTTAGGAGAGATATATACAAAATTCATTAATGGCCCTTTACTCCATTTGGTCAAACTGTGACGGAAGCAAGACTAGCCAGACTTGCACACTGGAGGAGTATGATTTATCAGCAATAGTTAACATTGGCATGTTAAGGGAAATACAGGGTGCCCAAAGAAAGGGTGTGGAATGAGAAGAGGAACTAGAAGAAAACTCTTTTATTTATTTATTTATTTTATTTTTGAGACAGAGTTTTGCTTGTCGCCCAGGCTGGAGTGCAGTGGCGTAATCTCACCTCGCTTCAACCTCTGCCTCCCAGTTTCAAGCTATTCTTCTGCCTCAGCCTCTTGAGTAGCTGGGACTACAGGCACTTATCACCACACCTGGCTAATTTTGGTATTTTAGTAGACACAAGTGTTCACCATGTTGGTCAAGCTGGTCTTGAACTCTCGACTCAAGTGATCGGCCCGCCTTGGCCTCCCAAAGTGCTGGGATTACAGGCATGAGCCACTGCGGCCGGCCATTGAGACACAGTTTCACTCTGTCACCCAGGCGGAAGTGCAGTGGTGTGATCTCGGCTCATTGCAACCTCCATCTCTCTGGTTCAATCGATTCTTGTGCCTCAGCCGGTACTACAGGAACCTGCCACCAGGCACAGCTAACTTTTTTTTTTGTATTATTAGTAGAGATGAGTTCTCTTACACCATGCCTGGGTGTAAAAGAACTCTGAGGAAGACTGATATTTAGAGGACAAGCAGAAGGGCTCCCCAAAAGTACAGTTTTTATTTATTACAAATGAAAAAATAACATTTCCCATTATTTTTCCTTGAGGTCATGAGGTACCTCTAGAAATTCCTAACTAAAAGTGGATATAATTTGTCAGTAAAGGCCAGGGCACAGTGGCTCACACCTGTAATCCCAGCACTTCAGGAGGCCAAGGCAGGTGAATCACCTGAGGTCCGGAGTTCAAGACCAGCCTGGCCAACATGATGAAACCCCATCTCTACTAAAAATACAAAAATTACCCAGATGTTGCGGTGCATGCCTATAATCCCCGCTACTTGGGAGGCTGAGGCACAGGAATTGCTTGAACCCCAGAGGCAGAGTTTGTGGTAAGCGGAGATTGCACTATTGCACTCGGGCCTAGGCAACAAGAGCGAAACTCCATCTCAAAAAAAAAAAAAAAATCATAGGTAATAATAATAATTTTCAACTTGTATTGGACCCTTCTCTGTGCTAAGCAGTTTATTATGAATTTTGTATTTATTATCCATGATCTCACAGTAGCCTGTAAAGTGAAGAATAAAACTTGCTTTTTTTTTTTTTGAGACAGAGTTTCGCTCTTGTTGTCCAGGCTGGAGTGCGATGGCACAATCTTGGCTCATCGTAACCTCTGCCTCCTGGGTTCAAATGATTCTCCTGCCTCAGCTTCCCAAGTAGCTGGGATTACAGGCATATACCACCAGGCCCAGCTATTTTGTATTTTTAGTAGAGACAGAGTTTCTCCATGTTGGTCAGGCTGGTCTCAAACTCCCCACCTCGGCCTTGCAAAGTTCTGGGACTACAGGTGGGAGCCACTGCACCTGGCTAACTGTTTTGGTTTTTAATTGAGACAAGGTCTCACTCTGTTGCCCAGACTGGATTGCAATGGCGTGGTCACAGCTCACTGCAGCCTTGACCTCCCCAGCCCAAGTGATCCGCCCACCTTAGCTTCCTGAACAGCATTTTATGGTTAGGGAAACCAAATCAGAAGAATCACGTTTTTCTCTGTTTTGGTTTTTTTTTAAAAAAAGACATGGGAGGGAATGAAAGCTGGCACTCTAATGGGGTTTTTAAAAGTATTATCCTTATCTTTGTTATACAGGCACATAATATAACCTTTTAAATAGCTGTACCAGTTTGTTACAAAAAAAAATTGCAGTTCCCTACCCTTTCATTCTCTCCTCCCCAGACACAGCCATTTACAACTAATATCTATAAATAGCATGCTTATATGGTTACTTTATGATTTTTCAGCTTTAGGCACATCCATTAATTTTCTAAAAGGATTTATGTATCTTTCCCTCCTTGCATCTATCTTACAAATACTTCCTCATGCTCTTATCTTTTAATATAATTAGATTACTTTGATTAGAGCAATACAGCATGCTTACATTATTTTGGCCATAAGCACTTTTTAGAGTTGAGATATATAATAAACCATCTGTTGCTAAAACCAAAAATGTATATTATTCCTTTTTCTTTACAACATTTTGTTTTCTTTAGAGCAAATACGTTTTTGTTGTCTGTTTTCCTTAGTTTTTTACAGTCATATACATTTTCACCTACAAACACTCCAACACTTATCCAAATCACCTGCTGGGATGCTCAGGTGTATCAGGTATTTTATCAATTTCATCTTCTTAGAGAAATCCCCTTCACAAGATTTCTCACGTCTCAATCATGGGCTGGCTGCCCTCTATGCCTAGTGCATGGTTGTCATCCTGGGATCTCCCTTCACCATGATCATGGGGATTACCTTTGCCTCTCTCTTATGTCTCCTACGTCCTGTCTTCTGTGCCTTTTCTTGTTTACTGCTCATTTTAGTGGCACACATTTTCTAGCAGTTTCCTGAGAAAGGGTACAGGGGAGATTATATTTATATATATATATATATATATATATAAATTTTTTTTTTTTCAGACAGAATTTTGCTCTGTTGCCTAGGCTGGAGTGCAAGGGCGTGATCTCATCTCACTACAACCTCCACCTCCTGGGTTCAAGCAATTCTCATGCCTCAGCCTCCCAAGTGGCTGGGATTACAGGCGCACACCAACACACCTGGCTAATTTTTGTATTTTTGGTAGAGACAGGGTTTCACCATGTTGGCCAGGCTGGTCTCAAACTCTTGGCCTCAAGCAGTCTGTCCACCATAATCTCCCAAAGTGCTGGGATTACAGGCATGAACCACCACACCTGGTCTGAGAAAATTTTTTTGTTTGTATTTCTGAAATTTTCTTTATTCTAGCCTCTTATTTGATTGACAGAATTCTAGGCTGGAAATAATTTGTCAAATAATTTTAAAGATATTTTTCCCCATTGCCTTCTAGCTTCTTTTGTTGGTGTTGCGAAGACTGAAGCCTTGCAGTTGGCTATGAAGAAAAAAAAGACTAAAGCCTTTCTGATGAATGATACTATGTATCTGATTTGTTCCCCATCTCTATTCCAAAACTTAGAGTCTTCTCTTTGTCCCAGAAATTCTTTTTTTTTTTTTGAGATGGGGAGTTTCATTCTTGTTGTTGCCCAGGCTGGAGTGCAGTGGCGTGATCTCGGCTCACTGCAACCTCCGCCTCCCAAGTTCAAGCAATTCTCCTGCCTCAGCCTGCTTAGTAGCTGGGACTAACAGGCATGCACCACCACACTGGCTAATTGTTGTATTTTTGGTAAAGATGGAGGTCCTCCATGTTACTCAGGCTGGTCTCGAACTTCCAACCTCAGGTGATCTGCCCACCTTGACCTCCCAAAGTGCTGGGATTACAGGCATGAGCTACTGTGCCTGACTGCTTTCTGAAATTCCAAAGTAATATGCTTTGAGGTCAATCTATTTTCACTTACTGGGCTGTTGCAATCTATAATTTTTTTTTAATTTCATCAGAGATTTTCCCCATTTCTCCCTAACTCTATCTTTTCTGTTCTAATTCCAATCTCTTATTCAGATACTGGGCCTTCTTAACTAGTTCTCTAATTTACATATATTTTTCTCTCTTATTGTTAATATTTTTGGGGTTTTTTTTGTTTGTTTTTGGTTTGTTTTACCTACTAGGAAGTATCTTCAGATTTATCCTCCAATTTTCTTATTGATACCTAAAAGCACTTTTCATTTTTTTCTTCTTTTTTTACTTTTTCCTAAAAGCACTTTTATGTTCTCAGAATTTCCTTTTGTGTGGCATCCTGTTTTTGTTTTATGTTTGCTTGTTTTGGTTACCTTATGTCCCTGGCACTTAGAACAGGAGTTTGAGTCTGCAGTGAACTATGATCATGTTATGGCTCTTCAGCCTGGATGACAGAACAAGACCCTATCTATCTGTCTGTCTGTCTGCCTATCTATCTATATATCAATTTTATAATTTCACATGAAATCTCTTATTTTTATATGTTAATTTTCTTCAGAGTACTTTATAACCAAGCAAATCGTGGCTCTGGGCCAAATTTAGTTCATAGGCCACTGGCTTGGGAGCTCTGCAAGAGACTTAATATGATAACTGTTTCTTTTGTAATTCTGTTAAATTAAAGGAAAACCAGGCTGGTAAGAGTGCGATAGTGTTTACAACTAATTGATCACAGCCAGTTACAGACTTCTTTTTTCCTTCTCCAGTCCCACTGCTTCACTTGACTAGTCTTACAAAATAAAAACAGGCCAGCTGCGGTGGCTCATACCTGTAATCCCAGCACTTTGGGAGGCCAAGGCTGGCAGATCACTTGAGGTTAGGAGTTCGAGACCAGCCTGGCCAATTTGGTGAAACCCTATCTCTACTAAAAACACAAAAATTAGTCCAGCGTGGTGGTGCATGCTTGTAGCTACTAGCTACAAGAGCTACTCAAGAGGCTGAGGCAGGAGAATCACTTCAGCAGGGGAGGTGGACATTGCAATGAACTGAGATTGCACCACTGCACTTCAGCGTGGGCAGAGTGAGACTCTTGTCTCAAATAAATAAATTAATAATAAAAATAAAGGAAAAAACAAGACATTAATTATGATCTGATGGTTAGGGTGATGAAAAATGTAACAGGAATGACTGGAAACTCAAGATAATTAACCTAATACTGCATTTTAGTTTAAAAACAATGAACTACAATGGTCTGTGGTGCTATCAATAAATAATTAGTAATCTCATATTCTCTTAGATGTGTAATAGAAGTTATAAGCATGACTAGTAATTTTTATTATATTTGGAATTAACCTAATGTTGATCTTAAGAGATAGATAACATATCTTTATAATCAGCATAACAGAAAATAAAATTAATATGGCTCATAACTCTGAGGTTTAAGATTAATCTTGAAAAATTATAATATAACAAATGTAAATTATGTAAGCATTAAATTAACCCATCATATCACTACTGAACTTGTTTTGCTTTTTTCTTTTTTTTTGAGATGGAGTCTTGCTCTGTTGCCCAGGCTGGAGTTCAGTGGGGCGATCTCAGCTTACTGCAACCTCCACCTCCTAGGTTCAAGTGATTCCCCTGCCCCAGCCTCCCGAGTAGGTGGGATTACAAGCGTGCACCACCACACCCAGCTAATTTTTGCATTTTTAGTAGAGATGGGGTTTTACCATGTTGGCCAGGCTGGTCTCAAACTCCTGACCTCAGGTGACCCACCCACCTCAGCCTTTCAAAGGGCTGGGATTACAGGCCTGAGCCACCTCGCCCAGCATAATTTTGCTTTTGTATTATTTAGAAATAGAAAGATTTTATAATATCGATTGAATGTGTATGTTTTACTTACCAATCTTGATCATTGCATTACTTTCCTTTTTAAGTTATACAAGATGTTTGGAAAGAACAAACATTATTATGTATTCTTCAATTGATTCACCTTCCATTCTTGGAAAATGTTTTGGAGCCTCCGGTTAAAACACACTATCTTCAATTAAACAAAGAGGAAAATCTTGTTATCACTAACACTTGCCTAGACAGAGAACTTATTCCAAGCTTATGTCTACCCGAGTAAGTGACCATTTTTATTGTCAAATAATTTATAATTAAACAATTTTTTCACATATTTGCCCTTTGTATTTTAAGATGTGAGCAAATATTCACATCATAAGCTGATACCATCTCTCTTTTATAAATTATCACTATAAATTCTCACTTGATCTAACAAAGAAAGCCATTGGTCATGACCTATAAGAAGATCATTGGAAGTCAGAGTGGTTTGGTTCATATGAATTCATTTATATGTCAATTGTCTTCTCCCTACACCATCCAAAATTCTGTCATTTCCATTTTATGACCCTAAATAATATAACCATCCCAGTTTCTACCAGCTTATTTTTCCCTGACCTAAAAGAATACATAGTCCACACGATATACATGAAAGAAAAAATTATAGTCCAAAGAAATTAGCCCTATCATAAAATCAGCCTAATTTGTAGATAATAGATTCAGGGAACCCTGAATGAGGCTCCTTTCCCTTTTATTCCCAACTCGAAGCTATTTCTCACTTCTGAGTAAAGCAGCTGCTGGAAACTATAGGTATTTGACCTTGAGTACTGTTGGGATTCCAGCAGAGAGAACTGATACAGTGCTTCCTCCCATGTAAGCCAAACAAGAAGGTTGGACACCAAGGCTGAGGACCAGCAAAATTCACATCTTGTGAAGAAGTTAGTGATCAGAGACCTCTGGACCCTCTTAGTCAACTGTGGTCCTGTTTGCACGTGGCAGATTTCTCTTATTCACAATAGGCCAAGAAAGACCCAAACAAAGGGCTGTCTTCCTACCCTTGAGTCAGGGAAAGTATAGGGACACCAAAAAAGAAACAGAATTTCTGCAGGTGCCTCTGCAGGAAACTCACAGCAGCTGGTCTGCCTTTAAAAAGGCAGAAAGAGCAGGTTTTCTGTAAGAGAAAAGCAATCAAACTGTCATTAGTCTTTTCATCTGCAATACTAAGATCTAGAAGATAATAAATCACACATATTAGGCAAGATGTATATTAGGCATCTGTCAGGAGAAAAAAAAGGAAAGAAGGGCCAAAGGGCCTGTCATCCCAGCAACTTGGGATGCTAAGGTGAGAAAATTGCTTTAGGCTAGGAATTCAAGACAAGCATGGGAAACATAGTGAGACCCTGTCTCTTAAAAAATAAATAAATAAAAATTAGCTAGGCATGACAGCACATGTCTGTAGTCCCAGTTGCTCAAGAAGCTGAGGGGAAAGGATCACTTGAGCCCAGGAGCTGGAGGTTACAGTGATCTATGACTGTGTCACTGCACTCTAGCTGGGTGACATAGAAAGAACCTGTCTCAAGGAAGGAAGGGAGGAAGAGAGGAAGGAAGGGATGGAGGGAAGGAGGGAGGAAAGGCAGAGTGAATGAGTCAGGAAAGATATTTGAGGATTGTGAAGAATTCAGGCCAGGCACAGGGGTCCACACCTAAAATCCTAACACTTTGGAAGCCCAAGGCTGGTGGATCACTTGAGTCTGGAAGTTTAAGACCAGCCTGAGCAACCGTAGCAAAACCCTGTCTCTATAAAAAATACAAAAATTAGCCAGATGTGATGGTACACACCTATAGTCCCAGCTACCTGGGGGGCTAAAGTGAGAGGATTGCTTTTTAGCCCAGGAGGCGGAGTTTGTAGTGAGCCAAGATCATGCCACTGCACTCCAGCCTGGGCAACAGAACAAGACCCTATCTCAGGGAAAAAAAAAAAAAGTCAAAAAAGGGGACATACTATTAAGGGAAATTATAATAAATTCTAATCTCTCTTCGCAAAACCTAGGGGTTGGGAGGGCAGCAGATACGGAAAACGGAGAAATAAAGGCCTTCCAAAAGAGTCACTGGACGGCGGGGTAGTGACAGGACCTTAAATTTCTTATCTTATTGGGGTGGGCAAATAAGAAAAGTAAAACAATGTGTGGTGAGGTAAACATTACATCTAGGTTGGGGAAATATTTGGTATATTATTTTCAAATAATAATAGAACCATATGCATCTCATTGGAGCAGGAAAAGGGAAGAGAACTGCCAACAAAATTAGAAATAAATAATAAAGTATTCGCTAAAAATTATTTTAACTTTGTGAAAATAAAGGTCCATAAAGGTGTGTGGTGGTGTTCAGTAAGGAATACAGCCATTCTCATATAGTCCTTCACTCATCCAGTGAAATGTATTGGAATGCTTCTCTCAAAAAATAATTTCTTCTTTAGATTTATCTAGCTTAAATTAGCCAAATTTTATCATGTTTTATCTGACAGTGCATGTAGTTAAATGGAAATGTTAACCATTGATTTATTTTGGTTTGCATTTTCCCTCCAGGATTGATAACTGGCTTAATGCAGCAATTGAATGCTTGGAGTAGTATTTCCCTGACCAGTTGATAGTTGCAGCTAGTCAGCAGTTAATGCAAAACAGAAATGAAGAGACAAGATTGAACATTCAGAAGAAGATACTCTTTGATGTCATAGCAAAATACTATACACAAGAGAGAGAGTGCCTATTAACTGATGAGTATCTTGATATTCATTCAGGAATTATTGAACTTTTAGGTAAGACAGAATGTTTATACTTTAATTTTCGGTGTAATGAAGTGTACAAGTTGAAGTAGAAAATTGTGTATACTATATGAGTATTACATTTTAATATTTTTCTTCTATGATGTTAAGGTACTTCAAGGAGTCTTTTTTTTTTAGTCACTATTATTGCCTACCTTTTAAATTGTATTATCAAATGTAACTAATATAGTATAGGGCGTAAATCTAAGACAGTACATCACAGGGATATCACAGGGACATTCTAAGAAATATGATATAGTACAAGGATTTAAGAACTGAGGTACCTAGAAATACTAACTTCTGAGTTATTAATTTGGTGACCTTTAGCAAAATAAAAATTGAGTGACATAATATGTCATTTTTTAGCTATGTAAGTGGCCATATAATTTCAGGTTAAAAACACAATACTGTTTGATAATTCTAGATATAGTTACATTGGATATTACATAGAATTATATAGATAATTTCCTATGTGTTTATTCCATAATAAAAAATTTTAAGTGTAGAAAAGAACTTGTAAACCAATATAACATTATAGCATTTTAATTGACTACTAAGTAAATACTTACTATACTCTCCATTTTTTATCCCATGCTTTGTTTTCTTTGTAACTCATATAACAGAAAAAGAAAAAAGCAGAAGCACTTGAAGCAATATAACTGTATCTAAGATTGTTGTCACCAAACATTAGAGAAGAATTATGACGGCTACTTACTTTTGTGGCTATGGCATCACAGCCCAATGCCTACAAGTTGCAAAAACAGGTGAAAATTTTTGCAGTAAGTTTTACCATCTTTTTGCTATTTTTTTCTTTAAAAACCATTTATGCTAATGTTAACCTTTCTGTTTACACTGTGATAACAAAACAGTGGTACTGAAAACTCTTGCCAAATCAGTTTTGCAAACCAAATCATTATTAAAAGTGTGGGCAGAACAACTGGTCTGGTTTCTACTGGAGTATCACTCTGAGCTCTTCAAAGTATCTCTGGCATTTTGCCTGGGCACATTTATTACTAAGCTATTTGTGTCAAGCAAAAAAGCAAATCATTCACTTAGTAAATCATTTACTAAGTATAATGTGCAAAGTTTAAGGAAATGCTGACTCCCCATACCCATGAAAGAATAGGAAACAGACTTAAAACTATTTGTTCGCTGGGCACAGTGGCTCACGTTTGTAATCCCAGCACTTTGGAAGGCTGATGTGGGTGGATCACTTGAGCCTAGGAGTTTGAGACCAGCCTGGGTAACATAGCAAAACCCTGTCTATACAAAAAAAAAAAAGTATATATATATATATATATATATATATATATATATATCTGGCTAATATATATATATATATTAGCCAGGCGTTGTGGCACACAACTGTGGTCCCAGCTACTAGGAAGGCTGAGGTGAGAGGGTCAATTGAGCCTTTGAGGTTGAGGCTGCAGTAAGCTGTGATCAGTGCCATTGCACTCCAGCCTGGGTGATAGAGTCAAGAGACCCTGTCTCAAAATGAAATAAAACACCCAGGAGTAGCAGTAGCATTACTAAAACATGGTCATATTCTTACTATATTTTGAAATGTTTTTGAAAAATTTTTAGCCTCACTATTATATTTCAGTACCAGACAATAGTACGAATACTTTTAAAGGTGTTATTTCTTCAAAACCTCCATAAAGAATTTTCTTTCTTCTGTTTTCTGGCTTAAAAATGTGTCTGGCTGGGCACAGTGACACATGCCTTTAATCCCAGCTACTCTGGAGGCTGAGTTGCAATGACTTGAGCCAGGAGTTTGCAACTAGCCTGGGCAACATTACAAGATCCCATTTTATTTAAAAACAAATTTTTGTCTTATGTCATAATGAAACATATTGATCCAAATTTTGTAATAGTTTTGTCGACCTTAACTGAAATTTTTTCCCATTATTTACAAGAAAATGGTGGTACTAAGTATATACAATAGAGGCAGTCCCCATTAATGTTAAACATTAAAATATGTTTCATTTATGAATTTTGAATTCATGTTATGTAAATGTTTAATGTGACAATCACTAAACTAAAATTCTTATATGTAGTTTTTCTCATATGTAGTTTACCTGCTAAAATGGATCCCAGATTTCAACTAGCAATTTAGAAAGAACACTTCCTCTCGTCTCTCCTCTTTCATACTATTCAGCCTCTCTGCTTTCTTCTTCTCACTCTACCCTCTTCTCTACATAAATGAATCTGCCTCTTTCCTACACATGGTGCAGACATTAGGAAGGATTGTCTTTTCATCTTCCTATCTCCCCCTTCATGGCAAAACTAGCAGTGTCATAAAGAAACATACGTTTCAGTCAAGGTGCTATGGCTCATGCCTATAATCCCAGCATTTTGGGAGACCGAGGCAGGTGGATCACTGAAGGTGAGGAGTTTGAAACTAGCCTGGCCAACATGTCGAAACACTGTCTCTGCTGAAAATACAAAAAGTAGACGAGCTTGCTGGCAGGCACCTGTAATTCCAGCTACTTGGGAGGCTGAGGCAGGAGCATCTCTTGAACCTGGGAAGTAGAGGTTGCAGTGAGCAAAGATTGCACCACTGCACTCCAGCCTGGGCGACAGTGTGAAACTCCATCTCAAAAAAAGAACAGAAAAAGAAACATACTGGTTCAAATTTTGTAGCAGACCACAAAGGGAGAAAAGGAATTTGACGTGGGCTGGAGGAAGTAGGGGTATGGGAATCAGGAAGCAGGGAGAAGAGCCCTGGTGGTTGGCTTCTAGAGATTAGAGGCTGGTGTATTTCAGGGAGGCTGAGGTGGGGATATTTGTGATAGGGGCTCTTGAACATGCCATGCTTGTTCCTGTTACAGGGCTTTCCCTTTACTGTCTACCTTTGGCCACTGCTTTCACTCTAGCCTCTTACTCTGCTTTATGTTTTCATAGTGGTGCTTATTACTACCTGAAATTATATGTATTTGCCAACTTTTTTGTTAAATTGTCTTTCTCTCCTACAAGAATGTAACTTCCCATAAATTTGGGAACTTGATCTACTCATTCATCACCTATAACAGTACCTGGCACATAGAAATCACTTGCTCAATTTTTATTGAATGACAGATTGAATTAATGAGGACAGCATCAGGGCTGGAAAGTAGCAGGACAAATAGAAGTTAATGAAAAGGTAGCTGGTGAGCCGGATGAAGGAGCTATCTAGAAGTGAGCTTCGGGATTGGTAGGGATAGAGCATGCCCTCTACAACAGTATTAGCCAAGGGATTATTCTCCAGATATGTGTAGTAGCCTGGGATTACTTTTGGTGTAACCAAATTGGAAAAGGAATATAGACTTATTTTGTTTGTTTGGAGGTTTTTGATGCCGTTATTAGGGACAGGACCTTGCTCTGTTGCCCAGACTGGTCTCCAACTTTTGGACTCAAGTGATGCTCCTGTTTAGCATCCCAAAGTGCTGGGATTACAGTTATCAGCCACCACACCTGGCCTGCTTTTCTATTTTAAGAGAATAATTTTAATGTATTTTAGAGCTACTATTTACATAGGGACTATGCAATTACAATGTAAGGTTATTTAAATAAATGCTGTAATTGAAGTACAAATAATTTTTATTGTTATAGGAGAACATTTCACTAATGATGGGTTAGCCTAATTTTAAATATAGTACATACATGAAAGCAGAAAATAAGATTTTAAGAATGCTAAAAAATTTTCAAGAATTCATAATTCAGAGGCCTTTTGCCACCCACCCTTTCCACTCATTTACAGTCCTCTCTCTCCACTCATTGGTCAAAAATATTGATATTTTTTTTCTTTCTGTGTTGAAATCCTGGCTAGAAAAAAATCATATTAAATATTTGAAAATACCTGTTTTTGTGTAGACACCAGTTACTTTATTGAATCTGGTTAGTAAGAAACTTAAGAAACACGGAGAAGATGCAGATGCTACATCAGACAGAGTTTCAAACAAACAAAAATTCTCAACTAAGAGTTTGTGAAAAGGTTTCAAAGGGTCAAAGTACAATATACTTTCTGAAACTGTAGAATGTTTTTTGTGTATCCGTGCTTATGGCATTTTTCTTCTAGGAAGACAGTCTATGGCTGTCGCCAGTTTTTCATGAGGACTATGGCTCAACCACAGTAAGAGCCACTGGTTCCAGAATCTAACAGTCTTTATTGATGTGTTTTTATATATTTCCCAAATTTTCTTTTTACCTTATGGATAAACTATTAAATATCCCAATGTTATATTAACATAAGAGCATTGGCTGGTTGCCATGGCTCACGCCTGTAATCCCAACACTTTGGGAGGCTGAGGTTGGGGGATCACTTGAGCCTAGGAGTTCCAAGACCAGCCTGTGTAGCATGGCAAAACCCCATCGCTACTAAAAATACAAAAATTAGCCACGTGCAGTGGTGGGTGCCTATAGTCCTAGCTGCTCAGGAGGCCGAGGTGGGAGGATCACTTGAGCCCAGGAGCAGAGGTTGCAGTGAGCTGAGATTACACCACTGCACACAAGCTGGGGTGAAAAAAAAAAGCATTAAGCTAGATGACTTCTAAGTTTTTTCCATTTAAAAAGGAAAAAAAAAAAAAAAAAGCCAGGCGTGGTGGCTCATGCCTGTAATCCCAGCATGAGGTCGGGGAGGCCAAAGCGGGCGGATCACCTGAGGTCAGGAGTTCAAGACCAGCCTGGCCAACATGGTGAAATCCCATCTCTACTAAAAATACAAAAAAATTAGTTAGGCATGATGACGAGAACCTGTGATCCCAGCTGCTTAGGAGGCTGAGACAGGAGAATTGCTTGAACCCAGGAAGCAGAGGTTGCAATGAGCTGAGATCATGCCATTGCACTCCAGCCTGGATGACAGAGCAAGACTGTGTCTAAAAAAAACAGAAACAAGGAAAGCAACCCAATTATGTGACACTAGAAGATAAAAAGCAACCCAATTATATGACACTAGAAGATAAAACTGCCCTAATCTGTGGATGACTGTTTTTAAAGGTGGAAAGGAAGTTAATATACCTCCAGAGGAAGACCTGAGAGGGTACCTGAAGAGATACCGGGAAAATACTGAGAATATGCCACCAAGCCCTCTTTAAAAGAAGAGTCTCCTCATTAGGAAAGCTGCCATTTTATTTTGTTTTATTTTATTTATTTTTTTGAGATGGAGTTTCACTCTTGTTGCCCAGTCTGGAATGCAGTGGCACAGTCTCAGCTCACTGCAACCTCTGCTTCCCAGGTTCAAGTGATTCTCCTGCCTCAGTCTCTTACGTAGCTGAGATTACAAGCACCCACCACCACACCCAACTAATTTTTTTTTTCTGTATTTTTAGTGGAGATGGGGTTTCACCATGTTGGCCAGGCTGGTCTTGAACTCCTGACCTCAGATGATCCAACTGCCTCAGCCTCCCAAAGTGCTGGATTAAAAGTGAGCCACTGTGCCCAGCTGAAAGTTGCCATTTTAATGTTCATGTGAGTCAGGCAGGGAATTGCTAGTCATCGCTATGAATGGTGGATACTTTGACAGATGCTTTAAGGATATCACCATGTTCTTGCATTTGCTGCTCAGAAAATTATAACCTTAAACAAATATCTTCACACTGAGCCTCAGTTTTTTTTTAAATCTCTAAAGCAAAAATACACATGCACAGATTTATATTTTTAAGATTGAGCTATTCCTTTAATAGCTTAAGCTTGAAAAAAAAGAAAAAATGAAATAAATTTTTAAAAAATTTTAAAGATTGGGCCAGATAATACCTTCCAACTCATTGATGGATGACAGTCATCTCCCATCTGTAAATAGTGGATTCATGAGGGAGAAGGTGTGGTATGGTAACAAAAATATGGGCTCTGCAGTCTACAATTCAACGCAATTCCCATCAAAATGCTACCATCATTCTTTATAGAACTGGAAAAAAAAAAACAATCCTAGGCTGGGCTTTGTGGCTTATGCCTGTAATCCCAGCACTTTGGGAGCCTGAGGTGAGCGGATCACCTGAGGTCAGGTTAGAGACCAGCCTGGCCAAACATGGTGAAACCCCATCTCTATTAAAAATACAACAATTAGCTGGGCATGGTGGCGCACACCTGTGATTCCAGCTTCCCAGCTACTTAGGAGGCCGAGACACAAGAATCACTTGAACCCAGGAGGTGGAGGATACAGTGAGTTGAGATCACGCCACTGCACTCCAGCCTGGGTGACACAGCAAGGCTCTGTCTCAAAACAAAACAAATAAACAATAAAAGAGTAATGTAATACCAGAACTTTGGGAGGCCGAGGTGGGTGGATCACAAGGTCAAGAGATCGAGACCATCCTGGCCAACATGGTGAAACCCTGTCTCTACTAAAAATACAAAATTAGCTGGGTGTGGTGGTGCACACCTGTAGTCCCAGCTACTTGGAGGCTGAGGCAGGAGAATCACTTGAATGCAGGAGGCAGAGGTTGCGGTGAGCCGAGATTATGCCACTGCACTGCACTCCAGCCTGGCATCAGAGCAAGACTCCATCTCAAAAAAAAAAAAAAAAAAAAAAAAGAAAGAAAGAAATAGAAAAGAAAAAACAATTCATATGGAAACAAAAAAGAGCCTGCATAGCCAAAGCAAAACTAAGCAAAAAGAACAAATCTGGAGGCATCACATTACGTGATTTTAAACTATACTGTAATGCCATAGTCACCAAAAAAAGTATGGTACTGGTGTAAAAATAGGCACATAGACCAATGGAATAGAATAGAGAACTTAGAAATAAACCCAAATACGTATAGGCAACTGATTTTCGACAAAGCAAACAAAAACATAAAATGGGGAAAGGACACCCTGTTCAACAAATGGTGCTGGGATAATTGGCTAGCCACATGTAGGAGAATGAAACTGGATCCTCATCTCTCACCTTATACAGAAATCAACTCAAGATGGATCACAGACTTAAATCTAAGAACGGAAACTATGAAAATTCTAGAAGATAACATCAGAAAAACTCTTCTAGCCATTGGCTTAGGCAAAGATTTCATGACCAAGGACCCAAAAGCAAATGCAACAAAAACAAAGATAAATAGGTGGGACTTAATTAAATGAAAGAGCTTTTGCACAGCAAAAGGAACAGTTTGCAGAGTAAACAGCCCATGGAGTGGGAGAAAATCTTCATATCTATATATCTGACGAAGGACTAATATGCAGAATCTACAAGGAATTCAAATCAGCAAGAAAAAAACAAATCCCATCAAAAAGTGGGCTAAGGGCATGAATAGACAATTCTCAAAAGAAGATGTACAAATGACCAACAAAAATGCTCAACATCACTAATGATCAGGGAAATACAAATCAAAACCACAGTTCGATACCACCTTACTCCCACAAGAATGGCTATAATCAAAAAATCAAAAAAATAATAGATGTTGCATGGATGTGGTGAACAGGGAACACTTCTACACTGCTGATGGGAATGTAAATTAGTACAGCCACTATGGAAAACAGTGTGGAGATTCCTTAAAAAACTAAAAGTAGAACTGTCATTTGATTGAGCAGTCCCACTACTGGGTATCTACACAGAGGAAAAGAAGTTATTATACGAAAAAGATACTTGCACACACATGTTGATTGCTGCACAATTCACAATTGAAAAGATATAGAAGCAGCCCAAATGCCCATCAATCAACAAATGGTTAAAAAAAAAAGTGGTATATAGATATCCACACACACAATGGAATACTATGCAGTCATAAAAAGGAATGAAATAATGGAATTCACAGCAACCTGGATAGAACTGGAGACTAATATTCTAAGTGAAGTAACTGAGGAATGAAAAACCAAACATCATATGTTCTCCCTCGTAAGTGGGAGCTAAGCTATGAGAATGCAAAGGCATAAGAATGATACAGTGTGCCATGCATGGTGGTTCATGCCTGTAATCCCAACACTCTGGGAGGCTGAGGCAGGGGGATCATCTAAAGTCAGGAGTTCAAGACCAACCTGCCCAACATGGTGAAACCCCATCACTACTAAAAATACAAAAATTAGCCAGGTGCGGTAGCAGGCACCTGTAATCCTGGCTACTCGGGAGGCTGAGGCAGGATAATTTCTTGAACCCAGGAGATGGAGGCTGAAGTGAGCAGAGATCATGCCACTGCACTCCAGCCTGGGTGACAGAGCAAGTCTCCATCTTGGGAGAAAAAAAATTAAAAAAAGAATGATACAGTGGACTTTGGGGACTTGGTGGGGCTCGGGGAAGAATGGGAAGGGGTAAGGGATAAGTGGCTACAAATTGGGTTCAGTGTATACTGCTTGGGTGATGGGTAAACCAAAATCTCAAATTGCCACTAAAGAGTTTATTCATGTAACCAAATACCACCTGTTCTCAAAAAACCTATGGAAATGAAGAATTTTAAAAAATAAAATATGAGAATTTTTAAAAACCTTGAAAAAAGGAATATGGGCTCTGGAATCACAGACCTGATTTACTATTTGACCTGCTTGGGTTAAAAGGGAAAATACTAGCACATGAGTATCCTAGATTACAATAAAATGTAGTTTAGAAATAGAATTACTATAAGTTAGAGTTGTTAAGCATACTTTGTCTTATTTTATTATTATTTAAATTGAATATTTCCTACAACATTCCCTAATGGAGCTTATTTTTATCAACATGTGTATGTGTATACACATACATACTACTGCTCAATGAAACTTGTAAACAATGAAACTTTGTAAGCAATGAAACTTGTTTACAAAGAAACAGTGACTTCTACTGAATGATTTTTGAAGGTTCTGAGGCATTAATTTTTCTAAAGAGAAATTTCTAACCGAGCAGTGCCATGCCACCTAGTGACAGCTTCATAAAGTACAGTTATTAGGCTTAAAACGAATTAGGTTTCCAAGGGTATCTTCATTCAATGTTAGGCTAAACATTTTGGAGGGACGTAAATGTAAAGCATTTTTTCTCTATATAAATAAATAAAATCCACGTTCAATTACTGAAAAACTTTCCTCTTGATAGAATATTCAGTAAATTTCCATGACCATTAACTGTCTGATTCATAACACTTGAGACTGTTTAAACTTCTTAGATTATTCACAGTCTCTACAAGATGACAAAGAATATTTGCTCGACCAAAGTTTAGTCAGTCTCCTGAATATTCTTCTAGTCCCATCTGTGCACTTCCTTGTAAAATCCCGTTTTAGCAAAGAACCCTGCTGCGTCAGTTTAGCAAGAAGCCCCCACCATCCATATCTGATCATCCTCAATATCCAATCAGGTTCCTCACCCTTCACCATCCCCTAGAGATTATGTGTCATCATCCCAGCCTGTCTTCAGCAAGAATATTGTTAGGTCAGTTTAGCCAGAATCTCCCTTACCCCCGAGGTTTTTCTCACAGTAATTTTCCATTCATTGACCTGCTTCTTGGCTATAAATTCCCACTACTTGCACATGCCGTATTCAGATTTGAGGCTAGCATCTCTTCCTAACTGCAAAATCCCATAGCAATGGTCCCTATACCTAATTTGATGGTCCTGAATAAAATAATCTTTTAGCAAGTATCACTAAATAATTTTTTTGTTGACAGGTACTATCCACATAAATAAAAGTTTGTTTGTTCATTTGTTTTTGGAGGCAGGGTGTAACTCTGTCACCCAGGCTGGAATGCAGTGGTGTGATCATGGCTCACCACAGCCTCAACCTCCTGAGATCAAGCGATTCTCCCCAGCCTCCTGAGTAGTTGAGACTACAAGCACATGCCACCAACCCCAGCTAGATTTTTGTAGAGACAGGGTTTCATTATATAGCCCAAGCTAATAAAAGATTTTCTAACTCCAAAAAAAAATTTTTGAGACAAAACTTTTTTCTTGTTATATAACTTTTATACATAAAGAATTAAAGACTGAATTTCATTATTGAAATCTTGTTCCTGGGAATCTTTCCTTCCTGTACACTCTACAAGTAGATTTGAAGTGCTTCTATTTGCTAATTACTTGCATGCTAAAAGGATTTTGGTAGCACACACACAAAAAAACAAAGTTGGGGTTGAAGCCTTATCTCTGATGCTTAACAACCCTATAACCAATGATGCTACCTAATCATTTACTCATGAGTATAATCATTCAA